TAAAAGGAAAAAAAAGAATGCATATGTGGGTGTCAAAGCAATAAAATAGAGGAAAAATTTGCAACCGCTTCCTTCTGCAAGCAGAGGGTCAGTAACTGTTCCCCCTACGGCTCCCCCCCCCCCCCCGCCCCCCCCGCCCCGCCCCCCCCCCCCCCTGCTCCCCCTGCCTGCACTGCTGTCCTTCCCCCTGCTCCTCCTGCCTGCACTGCCATCCCCCTGCTCCTCCTGCCTGCACTGCTGTCCTTCACCCTGCTCCTCCTGCCTGCACTGCCATCCCCCTGCTCCTCCTGCCCACACTGCCATCCCCACATTGTCCCTCTCCTGCCAGCCCTGCCCTCCCCACCCCAAAGGCAGGGTCGGAAGCCGAGGATGCTCTCCCCTACCTTCTCCTTCCTCCTTGAAGGACTTGGGCTGGGAGACGGTGAAGCACTGCATCACCTCGTAGCGCTGACGAGCCTCCTGGTTCTCGGCGCCCGGCCTGCTCCTCCTGCCCACACTGCCATCCCCACATTGTCCCTCTCCTGCCAGCCCTGCCCTCCCCACCCCAAAGGCAGGGTCGGAAGCCGAGGATGCTCTCCCCTACCTTCTCCTTCCTCCTTGAAGGACTTGGGCTGGGAGACGGTGAAGCACTGCATCACCTCGTAGCGCTGACGAGCCTCCTGGTTCTCGGCGCCCGGCTCGTCGGGCGGCCGGATCAGCATCCTGCAGCTGAAGGTGTGGCTGTTGCGCCTGGTCGCTTCTTGAGGCCAAGGAACTCCGTTTACTGGGGGATGGAGACGGGAGGAGAGGGGTTGTTAGGAGCTCTAGAGATATTCCAGACCCACCTGGACAAGGTCCTCTACAGCCTACTGTATGTGACCCTGCTTGGGCAGGGGGTTGGGCTGGGTGACCCACAGAGGTCCCTGCCAACCCCGAACATTCTGTGATTCTGTGAGCTGTGCCCTGCACACATCCCCCCAGCCTCCCGAGGACCCCTCGGATAAGGGGACAGAAGGAAAAGCGCTGGCATGGGGGAAGAAGGCGGCTCGCTGCCCAGGTCAGGGTGAGCCGACAGGGGAGCTGGGGCAGAGCCCTCCCCGCCAGCCCACGGGGCTCCTTCGGACCTGCTGAAGACCCCGCGCCCAGACCCACGCTGCCAGCCAGGCCCTCAGAGCACCTACAACCCTGACATCGTCACGGGAGCCATCAGCCGTCGCGCTGACGTTAAGGAATTGCTCCTTCCATCGCTGGTAGGTCCTATCATCTCCATCTTACGGGCAGGGAAACTGAGGCACGGGGGCTCTGGGTCACTTCCAGAGCTTGGGAATGCTCCTGCCTCTTGCTGTCGTACTCTAAATCCCGTCGAATTCTGACTTCACCAGCGAGTCCAGCTGAACTTCTCCATGGAAATGAATTTTTTCTTTGATTCCTCCCCATTTCTGGGGTCACTCAGCAGCGAGATCTTCTGGTACCACAGCAGCAGAAACCTTCTGTGATTTTTTTTCTGTAACCTGGCTATTTTCTGAAAACCTCTGGGCAGCAGTTGGAAGACCTTGCTAACCCTCTCCAACCTCTTTGTGGGTATCCGTATTCCACCCAAGCGACTTTGCCACCAGCAGATGATGGAGTTTTCAGGCAAGCTGATCTACAAGAAGAGCTGAGGGACTTCTGCCATCCGAGGAAAGGGACAATATCCAGCCTTCAACTGGGTAACCGCAGGGAAAAGACGATGCCTCAGCCTCTATAGCCTCCATCTGATGAGTGCCCACAGATTTAGGTGGTTTAAGACATCGTTGTATTTACCCAGAAGGAAGACAAGTGTGAATGTTTTTAAAAAAAAAACCCTATTTTTAAGTGAATCTGCTCGGGAAAGGCTCATTTTCTCTTCTGTTGCTTCGGAGGTGTGAGGGGATGAGGGATCAGTGACGTCTCACCCGCGTTCTCCCCCGAACATTCTGTGATTCTGTGAGCTGTGCCCTCCACACATCCCCCCAGCCTCCCGAGGACCCCTCGGATAAGGGGACAGAAGGAAAAGCGCTGGCATGGGGGAAGAAGGCGGCTCGCTGCCCAGGTCAGGGTGAGCCGACAGGGGAGCTGGGGCAGAGCCCTCCCCGCCAGCCCACGGGGCTCCTTCGGACCTGCTGAAGACCCCGCGCCCAGACCCACGCTGCCAGCCAGGCCCTCAGAGCACCTACAACCCTGACATCGTCACGGGAGCCATCAGCCGTCGCGCTGACGTT